TGCCCGTACCGGCCCAGGACCGGCAACAGGATCGCAATCCTCGGTGTTGCTCCCCGCACCTCGCTCAGCCAGTGAGCGGGAACCGGTCTGTATGTGGGATCTGAACCCTCGGCGGGAGCGCCGCCGCACTTCCCAAGCGGCGCACTGTAGCAGTGCGCCACCGGGCCGGCCCCCTTTTTTTGTCTTTTTTGAGACCAGCTGCACCGCGCTCAGCCAGTGAGCGCTGTGAGCGCACTGGTCATCCCTATATGGGATCCGAACCCGCGGCGGGAGCGCTGCTGCGCTCCCAGCGCTGCACTCTCCCGATTGCGCCACGGGCTCGGCCCTAATTTATTTATTTTAAAAGATGACCGGTAAGGGGATCTTAACCCTTGACTTGGTGCTGTCAGCACCACACTCTCCCAAGTGAGCTAACCGGCCATCCCTATATGGGATCTGAACCCGTGGCCTTGGTGTTATCAGCACCACACTCTCCCAAGTGAGCCATGGGCCAGCCCTCTAGATATTTTATATAAGCTGACACACACAGTATTTTCTCTTAGGTCTGGCTTATTTGACTTAGCATAATGTTTTCAAAGTTCATCCATGATGTAGCATGTAACAGAACTTCATGCATTTTTGTGGCTGAGTAACGTTCCACTGTATGGATATCCCATGTTTTGTTTCTCCATTCATCTGTGGATGGACCTTTGGGTAGTTTCCACCTTTTAGCTATGGTGAATAATGCTGCTATGAACATGGGTGTGCAAGTATCTGTTCTAGTCTCTGTTTTCAAATCTTCAGGTTGTTAACCTAAATTACAAACAGAGAGAAGCTCTCTAAGAAAATAACAAGTTTATTTGGGATTATAACATTGATATGGGAATCCACGTGCCATAGTAAACCATGTTTACTATGATAAAGGGTTCTGAAGGAGAAATGATGGAGGATTACATAATTGTCTTGGAATCATTACCCTTGGCTACAAGAATCAGTAACCAGGGTGATGCAGGCTCAGGTTGGACATATAGTTGCAGGGCAGGTGTCTTCCCAGTATTTTTTATGCAAGGTTGTGGTTTTGCAGAGTCCTTCGTTATTGCTTTTGTCATCAGGCATTCGTGCATGAGAACCCTCCCTTCTCTGCCTTCCCTGGCTCTATTTGTGTTGTAAGGTTGCGCTCTTCACCGACTGAGCTAACCGGCCAGCCCCAGGTTTTTTGTTTGTTTAACACAAGCAACTCCATTTTCGTTCCGACAACTTTCACAGGGGTATAGATTTAGGAGCGGAATTGCTGAGTCCCGTGGTAATTCTACATTGAACTTTTTGAGGAGCTGCCAAACTGCTTTCCACAGTGGCTGCATCACTTTATAGTCCAACCAGCAATGTACAAGGGTTCTAGTTTCTCTCCATCCTTGCCAATGCTTGTTATTTGCCATTTTTCAAATTATAGCCATCCTAGTGGCTATGAAGTGGTATCTCACTGAGAGTTTGGTTTGTATTTCTCTAATAACTAATGATGCTGAGCACTTTTTCAGGTGCTTCATAGCCATGCATGTATCTTCTTTTGAGAAATGTCCATTTAAGTCCTCTGCCTGTTTTTTGGGGGGTTGTTTGTCTTTTTGTTATTGAGTTGTAGGAGTTCTTTATATATTCTGGCTATTAAGCCCTTATCAAATATGTGATTTGCAAACAGTCTCTCATTCTGTGGGTTGTCTTTCACTTCTTCATTGTGTCTTTGGATGCACAAAAGTCGTAGATTTATTTTCAAATGTTTATCCTGCTCAGGACTACATTCAGGAGTCTGATCCGCTTATATCTGGAAAATTTTCAAACATATTTTATTTACACATTGCCTCTTCCAGGATCTATTAGATTTTCAATAATGTTACTTTCTAATTTTGTAAGTTCTGCTTCTTAAATAATAAAATGACAGACTGTTCTAAATCCTTACATCTGTTAATTCATTTAATCTTGTTATGGGGCAGGAATTACAATAATCCTCATTTTACAAATGATGAAAATAAAATACAGAGAGGTAAAGTAATGTACCCAAGATTACAGTGACTATGTAAAGTAATGTACCCAAGATCAAAGTGACTACATAAAGTAATGTACCCAAGATCACAGTGACTACGTAAAGTAATGTACCCAAGATCACAGTGACTACGTAGTCGGGGGAAAACTCAAACCCAGGTGGCCTGGCTCCAGAGTCAGATCCCGATCCCCCGTGCTAAACAGCCTCTCAGTTTACCTGTTATTCTTTCATGGTATCCTGGTCTTTTCTTTCTGCACCCAGGGGCTTCACTGGTCCAGAGTCAGTTTTTTACATTCATGTCTAGGTTTAGAGAATTCAGGTGCCAGGCAGGAGGGTAAGTTTGGACTCTTCATCTTGTCCCCTCCCGGCCTCCAGGAAGCGATACCTCCGGCGGCGGGCAGCTCTGGGACAGCTGAGCACCATCCTGCTGGTGGCCCGGCCCCTCCTCTGGAGATGGCGGAGACGGCAGGTGCAGGGGTTAGGGCGGGGCTGCTGGACTGGGAAGCTCAGGGCAGAAGCCAGCAGCCTCGGCTGCTCAAGTCGGCCAATCCCCACTGTGCCCACCCTCTTAGCCCAGCCTCGCAAGGACAGGGGCTTTGGAGATGGCTGCCCATCACGCTCTTCCCCGTTCCCTCTGTCTGGCCCCGGTGGGCTGGGGCCTCTGGGAGGTCACTGCCATCCGTCATCCTTTCCCACTCCCCCAGGGTGTCAAGGACAGGGGCTTTGGAGATGGCTGCCCATCACGCTCTTCCCCGTTCCCTCTGTCTGGCCCGGGTGGGCTGGGGCCTCTGGGAGGTCACTGCCATCCGTCATCCTTTCCCACTCCCCCAGGGTGGCTCTCCCGTCCCTGCCTGGGGCTCCTTCCCATCCCCTCCAGCCCTCCCTTGGGCCCCTTCTGTTCTCCTCTCTTGCTGGATGACTCTAACTTGAGGGTCATAAAGCAGCTCAAAGGTCAGTGCCCACATGCTGCCTCCCCCCTGGCCACTCCCTGGCTGGACTTTGTCCCCTGGGACCATTTCTTCCCTTCTTCCTGTCTTCTTCCTGGTGCCCTGGCAGACAGCTGTGACATCCACAGCACTGAGGCCGGTGAGGGCTCAGGAGGGCCCCGGGCAGACAGGAACTGACGTCCCTGTCGGGCAGCAGGCCCCTCTGGGTCTGTTCTTCCTTCTCTGGCATCAGGGTCTCCCAGAGGCAGGAGGCGGCAGCTGAGCTGCAGGCTTGGGAGGAGCCACTGAGAGACTCTTGGTGACTCCCCCTGGGGCATCAGCTCTTCCTGTGTCTCCCCCAGCAGCCTGGGCATTGGTGCGGCTGGCACAGCGGCAGGGCCCTGGGGAGAGTGCCAGTCATGGTAAGTGGCCTAGAAGCTGGGGGGTGAGATCGCTTAGCCTGGCATGGATTGGGGGCAGGGTGGGCTGCCAGGGGTGCCACCACAGGTTCTGTCCCTCAAGGATGTCCATTGGGCTGCCTGAAAAGAGGGCGGAGGTGCCCTCTGAGGGGTCCTGGGGCTCTGAGTGTCCAGAATGAAACTTCTTGGTCTTTGGAGGGGATGTTTATAATGCTGGGTGACGAGGGACACTGGGTCCCTAGGACCCCTCCATTAGTTCCTGGGTGCATTGGTTCTCTCTGCCAGGAGCTGGGGCGCTTGGAGATCCCAGCCGAGCTGGCTGTCATGCTGAGGACAGCGGAAGGTGAGTCATATTGGTGCCCTCTTGCTGGGACCCCTTCCCCAGTTCCTTCACTGCATGGTGGGTCTGTTCCCTGTGGTCCCTCCCCCCAGCTTGCCGGCCAGCCCCCTGTAGACGGCGGCTAGGGACTGATGGGGAGGGCTGCAGGTGGTGCCAGGGCCACCACACCTGGGCGTTTCTGGGCTGCCTCCTGGTGCTCTCGTCCTCAGGCCATCAGGACACCCTGGCCAGGAGCATTACTGAGTCCATGCTCCCCGAAGTTTCTGTTCGGCCCAGCCTGACCCTCCCACCGGACATTGACCGATTCCCTTTCTCCAGCTTCGTCTCCACCAGCTTTCAGGTGGGCCCCCCAGGCCTGAGCTCTTCCCTCTGGCCCCGAACATTCCCCAGCATTAGCCCCGGCCAGGCAGAAGCCCTGCCTGCTCCTTCTTTCTCCACCTTCCCTCCTCCCTGTCCAGTCACTGGGGCTGTGGATGCCGCTAGATTGCTCTGAAAGTATCTGTTGAACCAAAATATCTCACTTCTAGTGTCATTTAGACCCAGGATGCCACACCTTTATTTTACCTGTGGAATTGCCCTGCTATTGAAGTCATGGCCTTAAAGAATGATTAATGACAAAGGAAACTGTCCAGGCTGCAGCGTTAAATACAAAGAAAGGATTCAAACCACATATAGAGTATGATCTCAACTCTGTTTAGCAACCATGACAACAAAGGTGGCGGAGGTGCTGGGATGTATGTGTCTAAGCAGAGGAAATAAGACAAGGAAGAAAGGCTCAAACGTTAGCTGGGGTTA